CTTGACTCGGACCCTAGGAAGGAACCTTTTCGCACCTCAGCACTCCGCAGCATAAAGCCAAAGCTTCCTCGAGCGCAAACCACCCCTGCGCTCAGGCCAGGCTCTTCACTGCAGATCCGGGTGTGTGTTTTGTGTGGATTCTGCTCTCTCTACAGATATGCTCTGGGCGAGGCCTCCCCATGGCGATAGCCCTCCCCGACATTTCTATATAATCGCCTTTCTGGAAAAAAAAGAAATAAATTGGATCTTTGTACTGTATTGTTGAGAGGCTGCTGGGTCTTCTTGCTTTGTGTCACAGCCTGGATGTCGCAGAATGGAACGCTCAGGAGGAGCGGAAAGATGCCCCCAGGCCTTTCCCAGGTAGCAAACACACCTTTGAGACAGCCATTTTGGTGTCGTGGTTAAGTGCGTGGACTCTAATCTGGGAGAACCGGGTTTGATTCCCCCACTCCTCCACTTGCACCTGGCTGGATGACCTTGGGCAAGCCGTATTTCTGAGTAGAGCTGTCCTTGAAAAAGAGCAGTTTCTGTCAAGAGCTGTCTCAGCCCCACCTACCTCACAGGGTGTCTGTTGTGGGGAGGGGAAGGGAAAAGGAGTTTGTAAGCCACTCTGAGACTCCCTTGGGTAGTGAAGGGGCGGGGCATAAATCCAATCTCTTCTCTTCTTCTTCCTCTTCTTTGTGGTTGAGCAGAACCACCACCTCCTATATATGGAGGTGGTGGCAGAACGCAGGAAACCATCCCTACTCTCCGAAGAGAGCACTTGCCTGATGTTTATGTTGTTACTAGGGATGTCACTTAGGCCAAGAGACACCACCTGTTAATGACCAGGGGCTTGGTCTCTCCCCCCCCCCCCCCCTAGAAAAGAAAAGGCAGCAGAAGCGCTCGGGTTTCACTTCCCCACGCCGACGCCGGCCCCCCCATCCCCAAGCGGAACCCAGCCTTTGGGGAAACAAAAGCGGGAACCTGGCTCTGATCTAGGAGAACGCTGCTCACCACACAGCGAATGCATGTTCCTTCCAAAATCCATTTGGGCATTAAGGGTTGCCAACAGGCCTGGAGAAAAATGTCCTGACCCTTTAGAAGAGGAGGAAACGGGCGACTAGTGCTTTTCATGGCGGGGGGAGGGAGTGCCGTCCCACGAAACCTTGGCCGAAGGGACAGGAGGCCTTTCTCCAGGCCTGCTGGTAACCTTATCCCTTCCTGGCTATGCCTCCATTTTTACTATAAGGAAGGCCGAGCGCCGAAGAATAGATTCTTTTGAACTATGGTGCTGGAGAAGACTCTTGAGAGTCCCTTGGACTGCAAGAAGATCAAATCAGTCAATCCTAAAAGAAATCAACCCTGACTGTTCCCTGGAAGGCCAGATAATGAAACTGAAGCTCAAAGACTTTGGCCACCCAATGAGAAGGGAGCACTCACTGGAGAAGACCCTGATGCTGGGAAAGATTGAAGGTCAAAGAAGACGGGGACGGCAAAGTTTGAGATGGTTAGACAGTGTCATAGATGCAACGAACATGAAGTTGAGCACACGTCAGAGGACGGCGGAAGACAGGAGGGCCTGGCGAAATCTGGTCCATGGGGTCGTGAAGAGTCAGACACGACTGTGCGACTGAACAACAATTTTCCACTGAGCAGGCAGACAGAGGATTGGGGGGAGGTTGTGTCCCAGGGGAAGAGTGCATTAAAAGCACCCCCTTCCAAGAACTTTGCTTCTCTCTCCATCTTCTTTCTCTCCTCCCGCAAGACGCCCATGCACGTTGACTCCTTTCTCCCCCCCCCCATGAAACTAGGTGGGAAGAAGGTGATACTGGGAAATGGGGGAGGCTGTGGGATGGGAGAGCCCCCCAGGCCTGTAGCCACGAGGGGTACACCCCCTCCCAAAGGTGCCCTGCCTTCTCGGCCACACCTTTTTTGTTTTCAAGGTGTAAGCATCCATCTGCAAGCACACTTCTTCAGATACAGTGAAGCAGTATTTCCTCAACCATTACATATAGAAGAAGAGATTGGATTTATACCCCACCCTTCACTACTCGAAGGAGTCTCAGAGCGGCTTCCAGTCTCCTTTCCCTTCCCCTCCCCACAAGAGACCCCCTGTCAGCAGTGTTCCCTCTAAGCTGAGTTAGTGTGAGCTAGCTCACAGCTTTTTAGCCTCCGGCTCACACATTTTTGTCTTCGCCCAGGAAGGATGGCTCCAGAGCAAACTAATTGATGCAGTAGCCAAATTGCTCGCTCACAGCTTTAATGCTAGCAGCTCACAAAGCAGAATTTTTGCTCACCAGACTCCGCAGCTCAGAGGGAGCATTGCCTGTGAGGTAGGTGGGGCTGAGAGAGCTCTCCCGAAAACTGCCCTTGAGAGAACAGTCCTGGAAGAACTTGTGACTGACCCGAGGTCACACCAGCAGCTGCATGTGGAGGAGTGGAGGATCAAACCCGGTTCTCCCAGATTAGAGTCCACGCTATTTAACCACTACACCAAACTGAATTCCCTACTGTTTTGTCTGCCATGAGGCAGAGCTGTCAAAGACCGAATTGTTCTAAATAATTGGGCTGGGCGTGAGCTCGCAGACGCAATCCTGGCTGCATAGAACTCCCTCTTAGCAGCCTTCACTGCCATCTCATAGGATCTCATAAACGTCCTATAAGATGTTCTTGATGCTTCGTTGCGAGCACGGCGCCACCGTCTCCATCCTAAGAACATTTTCCTGGTATTAAACCCCATTGAATGAAGGGGGGCTCACTTCTGTGTTGACCAGCTTAAGATTGTTCTTAGAGATGCTTCGCTCTATTTTATTCTTTATTAAGACATTAACTTTAAGGAATATAAAAAACACCAGCAATTAAATTTGCGGTCATACAATAAAGATAGCTTTTACATGAGTCTACTATATTGCTGTGTTATCGATGCAACGAAGATGAAATTAGGCAAACTCTGGAGCATGACGGAAGACAGGAAGGCCTGGTGTGATGTGGTCCATGGGGTCACAAAGAGTCAGACTTGACTGTGCGACTGAACAACAACAACAACTATATTGCTTATCAGTGATAGGTTCACAGTGTAAAAAGCTTCTACAATACAGTTTTGGATTACTCTAGTCAGGCTTGATTCAGCCCTAGGTGTCTAGTTAGCTTTCCTGTATCAGATCCAGAAGTCTCCCTCCCATCCATGTTACTTTCAATGGAAACAAAGAGTTTCAATGTGTGGTGGCATAACTCATCAGAACAAAAAGCTTTCAAAACTGGCCACCAGCTTCCGGAAGTACATGAAAGTTACAGGGTCAAAACCTGAAGGGAACCAGACCATCCTGGATCAGATTAGCTCCAGAGCAGCTCTCTACTACTTGACATGGAAGCAAAAGTTTACTCATGAAAGGCCAGAGAGGGTGACGTAGATCCCCTCCTTTACTAAACAAACCTTCAAACAATTTGTCAGTTAAGAGGTCTTCTTGAGGATGATGCTCGTTTGAATAATACTCTAGAGCAGTGGTGGCGAACCTACGGCATGGGTGCCAGAGGTGGCACTCAGAGCCCTCTCTGTGGGCACGCGTGCCATTGCCCCAGCCAGGCCCAGACCACCATTAAAGTGCTGAATAATCTGCCAAATAATTTTAAGTAAATGAAGGGAGCACTCACTGGATTGCTTTCCTTACTTTGTTTGGATCATCTTAAGTTAATGTATGAGTTGTTTTTTCTAAAGTACAACCTCAGTATTCAGGTGAAATGGCTGTGTTGGCACTTTGCGATCAATAAGTGGGTTTTGGGTCGCAGTTTGGGCACGCAGTCTCTAAAAGGTTCGCCATCACTGCTCTAGAGGAACCAACTGTACTGAAAATGCTTGTTGTTGAAAGGAGAAATAGAGAGCCAAACATCACTTTCGGGGTGATGTTTTTGGCCTGTGCAACATGTAGGGGCAGATCCCCTCTAAAACAATATTGCAAATGCAGCGAGCTGCAGGACTAGCAAGTGAAGTGAGAGACGGGAGGGGCTGAGTATTATAATAAATACACACAAGAGCAAACAAATGGCCCCAGAAATCTATTTTTTCCCCTATTCTGCAGCCAACAATTACCCACTAGAATGGGTACGGGATGCAGGTGCTTTCAAGGAGCTCCCTATTTGTAAAAATTATGCATTTCAGATCCCTGGCTGATCAGGAACAGCCTGCCCCTTGTCAAGGTGAACACCCCTCTTCCCACCGCCGCTGCCATTTCTTTCCTTTAAAAGAGGGAATCTACTACAGCATTCGGGACTTGGGAAGCCTAAGTTTTAATCTTCTCTCCACCACTAACTTCACTGGGGCCATTCGCTCTCTCTCATAGCTGACTTACGGCGACTCTGTAAGGATGTCCCCACCGGAGACTTTCAGAGGTGGCTTTCCATGGCCTGCCTCCACGTAGCAAACCTGGACTTCCTCGGTAGGTTCCTGCTTAGCTTCTGAGATGTGATGAGATCAGGCTAGCCTGGGGAACCCAGGCCAGGGCAGCTTCTAATAGTTGTGGGAAGTGCTATCAAATCACAACTTGTGTGGACCCTGTAGGGCAGAGGTGTTGAACTCGTTTGTTATGAGGGCCGGATAAGAGCCCTGGACAGGCCGGTTTGACACCCCTGCATAGGGTTTTCAAGGCAAAAGACAAACAGAGGTGTTTTGCATCACCTGCCTCTGTGTAGCAACCCTGGACTTCTTTGGTAGCCTCCTGTCCAAGTACTAACCAGGGCCGAGTCTCCTGAGCTCCTGAGATCTGACAAGATCAGGAGGGCCTGGACCATTCAGGTCAGGTCAGCCCTACTGTATGCAATGTTCCCTCTAAGCTGTGGAGTCTCGTGAGCAATTATTCTGCTTTATGAGCTACAGGCATTAAAGCTGTAAGCAAACAATTTGGCTACTGCATAAATTAGTTGGCTCTGGAGCCATCCTCCCTGAGCTAAGACAAAAATGTGTGAGCCGGAGGCTAAAAAACTGTGAGCTGGCTCACGTTAACTCAGCTTAGAGGGAACACTGACTGTATGGGGTTGTTTGTGGGAGGGGGGAATAGGGTGAGAGGAGGAATGATAATCTTCTCAGAGCTCCTCAGAGGAAAGGGTGCGATAAAATCTCAACTAAGAGGCTTCCACAGACCTTGGCTTGAAGGGCTCAGCCGAAACTCACATAGACAACTCTCTACAAAGGTTTTTTTTTTAATGAGACAAAATGCAAAGTGGGAACAGTCCCTCCAGTTAAAGGCATCGATGAAAATTAACCAATGCCAATTTTTGTAGCCAGTTTGCTGCAGCAGCTGTTAGCGGGGGATCGTGCCCAATCGTCAACTTCCCGGCAATAATCCCAGCAGTACTCAGAGCAGTTTTAAGCAACAGTCGGTCAAAATGCTGCCTGAACACAGATTATTCAGAATCAGTAGACGTACACGAAATCTCATTTGCTAATGGTTTCCCAGAGGTGAGCTCTGGAGCCGTTGGGACTAACCGATGAGCCCTGCAAGAAAAGAGGGAGAAAGACTGTTAGAGGCTGTAGAAGATAAAATAAATAGGACTCAAAGCAAAAAGCACTGTTGGGCAGGATTCCCACTCACCCCCTACCAGAGCGGAAATGTTATGGGCCTCCTCCATTGGGGCAAAGTATTTTCTTAGTGTTTCAGTTAAAGCACCATCTGGTGGCACAGAAAAGAAGAAACCCCAAGGTGACAAAGGTGTCTGACCAAGGAAACTCTGACTCTCAAAAGCTTAGACCGTGAAAATCTTCTTACTCTCTCAGGTATTCCTGGACTTGAATCGAACTGGCCCAGTGAAAGCCAATCCACACTGAATGATATTAAATCAATTTCAGCCGTCTTTGAATGAAGCCAGAATTTCAACATCTCCTGTTCACTGGTGATGAAGGGGACTTAACAGAGTGCAGAGGGAATGTTATAACAAGTCCCCCTCTACTCGGCTGGGGAAAGGCCCCATTACACCCTGGGAGAGAATTTGTTTATTTTATTGATATTTATCCAACTTATACTCCAGGTGTCTCCCCATAGGAGACTTAAAGCGGCTCACTACATTCTTCGTTTCATCCTCATAGGTTAGGCTCAGAGTGTGTGACTGGCCCGAGGTCACCCAGCGAGATTCCATGGTGGAGCGGGGATTTGAACCGGGGTCTTTTACGCCCTAGTCTGACACTCTGACCACTACACCACACTCGCTCTCACCCTGGGTGAAATTCCCCCCACCCCCAAAAAATCTGGTCAGGGATCAGCATTGTCTGTTTTGGGGGAGGGCACTGGGGGGGGAAGGCCTCAAGGTTCCCCTCCCCCACTCCTCGTGTCTATTTTGGGAAAGGCAAGGAAGTGGGGGGAGGTGTGTGAGTGACACACAGGCTTGTGCTGAGGGGGAGGGAAGATGTGCGTCCCCCGGCCCTTCATGCCAGGCAGGATTAAAAACAAATAACATTATTGGAGGAGATGTACAGAGAGCCTTACCTACAGCAGGTGCCGTGGGGACAGCTATGGAGAAAGAGAGAGAGACGCAGTGTCAAAGCCCTTAGAGGGGTGTGGATCTCTGCGGGGTCCCTGCACTATGAACTACCCCACCCAATAATCACATCAGAAGGGTCCATCTAGCCCAGCATCTTGTCTCACAAAGCGGCTAAGCAGTTATTCTTAATGGCCAACAACAGGGCAAAGAGGCTGAGGCCTTCCCCTGATGTGGCCTTCTGGCTCTGGGATGAGGAGGAGGAGGAGATTGGATTTATACCCCGCCCTTCACTACCCAAAGGTGTCTCAGAGCGGCTTACAAACTCCTTGACAGAAACTGCTCTTTTTTCAAGGACAGCTCTTATCAGAGCTACGGCTTGCCCAAGGTCATCCAGCAGCTGCGAGCGGAGGAGTGGGGAATCAAACCCGGTTCTCCCAGATTAGAGTCCGCACACTTTAACCACGACACCAAAACTGGCTCTGAAGGTGGAGGTTCCCTTTAGATGCCCACGAGTTCTAGTATTTCTGGAGAGGGGGAGAAATTTCTCTTTTTTCAGCTCTCTCCACCACCCCATGCAAAATTGTATAAACCTCTCTCGTGTGTCCCGTCCCCCTTAATCATCTCTTTTCTGAACGGAGAGGTCCCAGAGGCACTTCAGCCTTTCCTCACAGGGGAGGGGCTCCAACCCCCTCCTCATCTTGGTCGCCCTCCTCTGGACTTTTCCCAGCTCTGCAATGTCCTCTTTGAGATACAGTGACCAGACCTGCACACAGTATTTCCATAGAAGGCCACACCATTGATCCATGCAGGGGCATTATAATATCGGCTGTTTTATGTTCAGTCCCTTTCCTAATCCCTAACACATTGTCTATTTCACCATTGCAGAACGCTGGGTCAACACTTTCATTGAGCCATCCACTATGACTCCAAGGTCCTAAAAGTATGATAGTAAAGGTTTCCCTTGCTCGAAAGCCAGTCGAATCTGACTCTAGGGGGCAGTGCTCATCTCCGTTTCCAAGCCGATGAGTCAGTGCTGTCCAAAGACTTTTTCCGTGGTCATGTGGCCAGCATGACTAGATGCTGAGGGGCATGGAACGCTGCTACCTTCCCACCAAAGCAATACCTATTTATCTACTTGCAATTCCTTTCTTTCAAACAGGCAGGGTTGCAGGAGCTGGAGCCAGAGATGGGAGCTCACTCCATCACGTGGCACCGGGGTCTCAAACTGCCGAACTACCAGCCTTCCAGTCTGCAGTTCAGTGTCTTAACCTCTGAGCCACTGCAGCATGATAATCTCTCTTAAAGCACTTCAGGACTGGAAGATGCCACAAGGCCAGCCTGGCTGGCAAAGGCTCCTAGTTCTCCTGGGCCCTTTCATGCCCTCCTCTGCCTAGAACATAGGGTCTGCTCTTGACCAGGAGATTCCAGATCTTTCTGAGACCTCAGCCCACCCCATGCCCAGCCCTGGCTCTTCTTTCCCCCCAGGAGAGATATGCAAGAAGAGCCTCTCCCCAACGTCCACTTTGAGTGTTAAAGCAGACCAAGCCTCTGGTCCTCCAGATGGCCCCTGGAGACTTGCAAAAGGAACCCCCGGAGAGTCTAAAAAAGCGCCCCGGGGGGGGGGGGGGAGAGACTGAGACTCTTTGGGTCCTCTATGACAATTGTTTTTAAAGATGACAGAGCTCTATAAGATATTCCATTTCTGTTCATCATGTGCACTTTTTGTTTTTATCGGGTTTGGGGGAGGGGCCTTGACTTAATAGCAGGGGACCAGCTTGGTCTGCAGAACCCAAAACAGAACTGCCCAGGGAAGGAAGAGAACACGGACCACTACCACCAATCTACCTACTAACCAGGGCCAACCCTGCTTCGCTTCCAAAGCAGTGGTGGCACAGGGGATTTATCCTCTGGTTAATACATCTGAGCTGAACAGAGCTGCTGTCAGTTCTAGCCCCGTGCTGGTGTGAGCTACCAGCCTTGTCCCCAGCTTGCCGTCCACCCAGCGGTTTGAAAGCTTCGGCGAGTAGATAAAATGGGTACCATTCCTTAGAGAGGGTGGGCACACTAACCCCCCTCCCCCAGTGGGGGAGGTGTTAGCCAACGAATGGAATGTCCAGCACGTAAGACCAAAAAGCCTAGAAAGAACTCTTCAGCATGAAGGAAGCCTGTAATTGGCCATCTGGCCAGGCGGTGGCAGTGCTGCGCTGCAACGTGAAGCAGTCCGGAGAAAGCTGAAGACATCAAGCCACGCCGAGGGAAAAATGCTGTTGGAACACGTCTGACTTTACAGCTGAACAAAACTCCCCGTCGGCTGCGAACGTGTGTGATTTAAAGATTATATGTTGTTCTCCCTTGCCCCTTGAATCATTGTTAGTCCCGTGTGTAATGGAGTAACTATAAATCGCTCAGAGCCAGCAAGCTCTGTAGGATTGAGCGATTAATAAATTGAAAGATTTATTTATTTATTTAACGCTGAGCCCCCCAGGTCAGAGCCCCCCTTACCTTTCTTATTCTTCAGGTAGAGGGAGATGGCCACGGCCCCAAAGACCACCCCCAGCAAGGCCCCCATGCCTCCTGTCCACATCTTGCTCTTGGCAGAGTCCGACATCTCCGGCACTGTGGGGTGGGGGGGGGAAGAAGAAGTCTCACGTGAGAAGAGGGATCGGTGCCTGGTTTGACCTCCCACCCGCTGGATTTCACAAGGGGGATTCGGTTCATGAGCTGTACAGATGGAACTCCAACAACTGACAATTAATTTAAGAGAAATGGCCAGAGTCGAAGGACACGAGGCTTCCTGTTGAAAACGGAGACAAACCCATACTCTGCAGAGAGTTTGGAGGTTCTTGAACCAGCTCCACACTGCCTGAGAGGGTCTGATATCACACCATTCAGGCAGAATCCTCCCTCGTAAGCATCTACTGGGCCAACTCAAAACTCTGAGATTATCAGGGTAGACCAAGGACTCCCACCCACTGTGCAGGATTATGTGACCATGGGAAAGGGAAGAACAAGAGAGCCCTCCGGTCTCTCACCCCACTGGATGGTGATGGGCTCCTTCAGGCTGCTGTGCTCCACCTGGCAGGCGTAGAGGTCTCCCCACTGGGGCACCATCTCCAGCATCACCTGGTTCTGGAAGGTCCAGTCTCCGTTCCGGAGCTCATCTGCGTATCCCAGACCTTCCGTCTGCTCCTGCCCGTTCTTCAGCCACTTGACATTAATCTCCGAGGGGTAATATCCTGCCGCGGTGCAGATCAGGAGGCTGTGGTGGGCCCGGGGCCCTGCCTTGGTGTGGGAGATCTTCACTGAGGGCTGAGCTGGAGGGGAGGGGGGAGAGAAGGGGGGAAACTTCAGAGATGCAGGACAGAACCAGAAAATCACTGACAGATGGAAAAGACAAAGATGTTGGTGTACAGTAGAACAGTGGATTCTCTTGAAAGCTTATACCGAAAACCATGTTGGTCTCTAAGGTGCTCAAATCAAGCTGTTATCAGGTCTGCAGCAGATATATTTTTAATGAAACCCTTTCTGGTCCCTGGAGAGCCTTGTACAGACACTCAAACACATCTCTCTTAGAACTTAAAAGAAGCCATGTTGGATCAGGCCAATGGACCCTCCAGTCCAACACTCTGTGTCACACAGTGGCCAAAACCCAGGTGTCCTCAGGAGGTCCACCAGTGGGGCCAGAACTCCAGAAGCCCCCCCCCCACTGTTGCCCCCCAAGCACCAAGATGACAGAGAATCCCTGCCCAAGACATAAGAACATAAGTGAAGCCAATGTTGGATCAGGCCAGTGGCCCATCCCGTCCAGCACTCTGTGTCACACAGTGGCCAAAACCCAGGTGTCCTCAGGAGGTCCACCAGTGGGGCCAGAACTCCAGAAGCCCCCCCCCCACTGTTGCCCCCCAAGCACCAAGATGACAGAGAATCCCTGCCCAAGACATAAGAACATAAGTGAAGCCAATGTTGGATCAGGCCAGTGGCCAAAAATACCAGGTGCCATCAGGAGGTCCACCAGTGGTGCGATATCTCCAGAAGCCCTCCCACAAGAATCAGTATTGAGGCCGGTACTATTTAAGTTATTTATAAATGATCTGGAACTAGGGGTGAGTAGTGTAGTGGCCAAGTTTGCAGATGATACAAAATTATTCAGGATGGTGAAAAGCAAGGCTGACTGTGAAGAGCTCCAAGAGGACCTCCACAAATTGGATTAATGGGCTACAAGGTGGCAAATGAAGTTCACTGTTGGTAAGTATAAGGTGATATATAGTGGGACAAAAAATCCCTACTTCAAGTCAAGGCTAATGAGCTCTGAACTTGCTGAGACTGAGAGAGAAAAAGATCTTGGGGTTGTAGCATCAACCCAGTGTGCTGCAGCAGTAAAAAAGCCAAACTCTATATTAGGGATTATCAGGAAAGGGACTGAAAATAAAGCAGCCAATAGTATAGTGCCCCTGTATAGATCTATGCTGTGGCCTCATTTGGAATACTGTGTGCAGTTCTAGTCACCGTATCTCAAAATGGACAATAAAATGATAACATAAAAAAGACTCTGAAGTATCACTAACAAGATATTCCCTATGAAGAAATGTTAAAGCGCTTGGGACTCTTTAGCTTGGAGAAACGAGGGCTGAGGGGTGACATGATCGAGGTTTATAAGACTATGCATGGGATAGAGCAGGTAGAGAAAGAAGTACTTTGCTCTCTTTCTCACAATACAAGAACTCGTGGGCTCTCCATGAAATTGCTGAGCGGTCGGGTTAGAACGGATAAAAGGAAGTACTTCACCCAAAGAGTGATTCACACATGGGATTCACTGCCACAGGAGGTGGCGGCGGCTACAAGCATGGACGGCTTCAAAAGGGAATTAGATAAGCATATGGAGCAGAGGTCCATCAGTGGCTATTAGCCACAAGGTATAGAGAGGGACTCCGGGGCAAGTAATGCTCTGTTTTCTTGGTGCTTGGGGGGGGGTCAACAGTGGGAGGGCTTCTAATGTCCTGGCCCCACTGCTGGACCTCCCGATGGCACCTGGTATTTCTGGCCACTGTGTGACACAGAGTGTTGGACTGGATGGGCCTTTGGCCTGATCCAACATTGGCTTCTCTTATGTTCTTATATATAGGCTAGATTCAGGTGGGGTAGCCGTGTTGGTCTGAAGCAGTGGAACAAAATTTGAGTCCAGAGACACCTTTAAGACCAACAAAGTTTAGTTCTGGGGTATAAACTTTAGTGTGCAGGTACACTTCTTCAGACACACAGAAACCAAGGCCACCAACCATTACATATGGGGGGGGGGGTTGTTGCCAGGAATCGCTAATTAGAGCAAAGATGCATAACTGAGTAGCAAATATATCTAAGATTGGATGCAGGCACGCAGGACCACACCCAGGCTCTTGGCGGACTGCACCGGTGCCAATGGCGCCCTGTCAAGAGCTGGTAGACCGAACCTGCATCCTGAAGCCCCTCTCCCCGGGGCACAGCACCTCCGTCTTTGTCGGATTCAGTTTCGACCCGCTCTTTTTTAACCATCCCACAATGGCCTCCAGACCCAAGGCCAGATTTTCTGGGGCAGCGTCGGGGTGGGTGTCCAATAGCGGATACAGCTGGGCATCATCAGCATATTGGTAACACCCAAGCCTGAAACTCTGTGCCAGCTGGGCAAGGGGGCGCATATATTTATTTATTTGATGGATTGATATACTGCCCCCCCCCGTAAATGGGCAGTTTACATCAATTAGTATAATACAATTAAAACAATGTTAAAATGACAGTTTGCACAAGATGAAATCATAGAATACCATGTAGAAAAAGAAAAATCAGATGTCAAATCAGATTGGTTAAAATTCAACGTCCATTCAGATCCAGGCCACTGGTGGGAGATTGGAAGGAGGGACGTCTGCCGCCTCAACCAAAAGCCTGGTGGAAGAGCTCCGTCTTGCAGGCCCTGTGGAACTGCAATAAGTCCTGCAGGGCCTTGATCTCATATGAGATGTTAAACAACATCGGAGGGGGAAAGTGTCCCCTGAGGGACCCCACACCCCAAGGGGTATCTAGAGGACCCATCCTCTCCCAGCGCCACCCTCTGTCCCTGACCATGGAGGAACGAGGTAAACCACTGTGAACTCCTACGTCAGCGAGGCAGTGGGTCGGAAGATCATAACCGACCGTGTCGAACGCTGCCGTCAGATCTAATAGCAACAGCAGCGCTGACCCACCTCGATCCAGCTGCCTATGGAGATCGTCTGCCAAGGTGACCAACATGGTTTCCGTCCTGTGGCCAGGGCTGAAGACAGACTGGATCCAGAGCCAATATCTCACCCAGGAAAACCTAAAGCTGTCCAGCCACTGCTTTCTCAATTACCTTACACAGGAACGACAAATTTGAAACTGGGCGGTGATTGGAAGGATTGGAAGGATCCAAAGCTGATTTTTTTTTTTCAAAAGCACTCTGGGTAGGTCCCTGCTTCTAGGGACCAGTTGACAAGTTCCCTCAGTGGGCCCTATGTCCCCTCACCGCCAGCTTTCACTAGCCATGAGGGGCACTGGTCAAGGATGCATGTGGTTGGTCTGGCAGCACCCAGGTCTGGGGCAGTGAAGCTCTGACTTCTTGGTGCTTGGGGGGGCACAGTGGGAGGACCTCCTGATGGCCCCTGGGTTTCAGACACTGTGTGACACAGAGTGTTGGACCGGATGGGCCATTGGCCTGATCCAACATCGATCCACTCATGTTCTTAAAAGCCAGGCGGGCCCAGCTTCGGGGTGCTACTGGACAAAGCAGTGGCTGTGGAAAGAATTTCATCCCCTCCCCCAGCTGGAGGGGGTGGCGGGCAGTGTTCCCTCTAAGCTGAGTTAGTGTGAGCTAGCTCACAGTTTTTTAGCCTCTGGCTCACACGTTTTTGTCTCAGCTCAGGAAGGATGGCTCCAGAGCAAACTGATTTATGCGGCAGCCAAATCTCTCTCACACACAACTCCCCCCCCTTTTTTTAATTAAGAAAAACAGTTTACATCAACAATACAAACCAAAATACAGAATACATAAAACCAACTTGGGGAATATTTAGCAATCATAACCTTAATAAAACGAACTAAAACCATTTGTACTACTACATTCTAAACTTTGCTATAATTGCGTAATGTCTAAAGAGTGAAAATCACATATAAATTAGGCTTAAAAGAATGATGATTGATCTAAAAAAAAAGGTAAATTGAACTCTGCCAATATAAATGAGAGGGCCTATGAATGTTGACGATAGCCCATACTAGTAAAGGATCCAGGGGAGATATGAAGACTTTGAAGGAAGAAGGTCCTTCTCAGACATAAATTGGAGAACTCTTAACCATGTAGCAACAGGGCTAAATTAAAATGGATTTAGGACTTGATTAGGACCAGTGTTCCCTCTAAGCTGAGGTAGTGTGAGATAGCTCACAGTTTTTTAGCCTCCGGCTCACACATTTTTCTCTCAGCTCAGGGAGGATGTGGCTCCAGAGGAAACTGATTTCTGCAGCAGCCAAATCACTGGCTCACAACTTTCATGCCAGTGGCTCACAAGGTGGAATTTTTGCTCACAGGACTCCACAGCTTAGAGCAGTGGTTCTCAACCTTCCCAATGCGGCGACCCTTTAATACAGTTCCTCATGTTGTGGTGACCCCCCAACCATAAAATTATTTTTGTTGCTATCATAAGACCAATGAAAATTTGTGTTTTCCGATGGTCTTGGGCGACCCCTGTGACAGGGTCCTTCGACCCCCACAGGGGTCACGACCCACAGGTTGAGAACTGCTGGCTTAGAGGGAGCATTGGTGGCAGGTGGGGTCTTATGCCTGGCAGGGGGGGGGGGAGTTCTCCGGGCAGCCAGACTCCTCCTGGGGCTGGGGGTTGCCAGATAAGTCCTCCATCCCTCCCTCTATTGTGTAGTGGGTGGCCACATGAACGAACGACATACGACCATGTAGTGCATAGCACGCTTTATTGAGTACACAACAAAAGGGAGGGGGAAATGGCCGGCCGGCCAACTATATACAATACCAGGGGACCACCCCTGGGTCCCATTTGCGGGTTATACTATCCCGCCTTGGTCCCATTGGTTTCCCCCCAGTGGCGAGACTAGTAACCTAGTCCCATTGTTGTCCTGGCCTGAGCTCAGGCGTGTGCGCTGACCTCCGGTGGTGGTCAGTGGACACAACACCCTCCCTCCCCGGCCTGCCGTCCTCCCGAACCTCCCTCTCCGCCGACCCCCAAGGCTCCCGCCGGCTGAGAGCCCCTGGGGGGGGGGCGGGAGGAGGAACTTCCCCCACCTGCCC